TCGCTTTAAACTCGCATTTAAATTTCCACTGCAATCTTCAGGGGATTCGGTCATGTCTTAACTCACGTAAAGTCTCTGATTGAATTATAGGGCGAATTAACACGCACTTACCGACACAGTACAAACACATCTTATATTACATTTCGTAAAGCTTGTTTTCCTTCTCATATCAAATGTATCAAGAAATCAAGCATAATTATATTTAATATTTAATTTCTTCCAACACAACAAACATTATGGAAAAACTAATAAGTCGTATTCTATGAGAGAAATGTTACTGTTTGAGATATGATGGTCAATTCTTGCTTTGCAAGCTACGTACGTACGTCATAGCCGCCATGTTGGATGATTTTAACAAAGGATTTTCCTTGTTTACAATACAAATTTCATCCAACATGGCGAGTATTCCATTATTCTCATACTCCCAGGGGAATGGTTGCAAGCCACCAACAGAAATTTAGTGATAGTAAGTAATGACTGTTTTTTTTTGGGATGTGCTTTGCAAAAATAGACAATTAGTAATTCCTGTTTGGCTATTTACCATCACCTTGGATCATGCCAACAGCATCCTTAGCTTCTAAACCCTCCAACTCAGACAGTTCCACTAACAGTCTTGACATAAAAACTTAATAAATAAAGTGTGAAATTTTATTTTCCAGCCGAAATTGTTTTGTGAATAGTTTCAATCATACTTTTCCCTTTGCATTGTCACAAAAATCATTAATGATAACCAGATACTCAGACTCTACTAAACCCTTTTCCCTCAAAGAAGATCGGTTTTCTTCAGCATTTTGAAGATGGCTTGTCAACCATAAACAACATTAAAAATAACATATTATTTATAAACGTCCAATTCACTCAAATAAAATCATAAAAATTTCCAATGACGCACAATAATTTTAAATGAACGCAAACTACAATGACACTTTTACATAGTTAAGCTCATATCTAACTTGAATTTATACGGTGTTTTCATCGGTCGTCATTTAGATAGAAAGTCCCTTCTAGTGCATGAAATAAAAATAATTTATAGAGATTTCATTCTCCGTTGAATGCTGAAACTTTGAAGTAACCCAGCAGCGTGGCCGCTTTGACGTCTCATGAAAAAACTTTATCATTCAGTATGTATGTAGAAAATAAAAACAAAGTCAACGATCGTTATTTTTTAGTAAAAAAGCATTGATTTGATTTGAGTGAACTGGACATTCATAAAATATGACAACAAACATGTATGTCATAATACCTGATAAAAGAGACGGCTGTACAAGCGTCATATTGCATTTCAAAAGAACAAAGTATTCTTGACTTGCAATCATTCTCTTGAGATTTACCAAACAATGATTCTCGTCCACGTCGGCTGGTGCCAACAAAATCACTGATAATATATTCTTTAGTATCACACCACCAACATGGCTGAATTGAAAGTCAAGAATATGCAGTGAATGCTTCTCTTCTTCGCTCATTTTTAGACGTATTGTCTGTCCTTGATGAGCGATGATTAATAAAACTTGTGCTCAAGAAACAGGTTGTGGATGAAAACAACATCGACATGATATTCATACTTTGTATGCAGCTAAAACTAAAAGTTTAATGGTTGTACTTGTAATAGAAACGTATGAAAGGTCTACGCTACTTGCAATCACCTGTTTAAGCATAGAAATTTGCATTTTAAAATAACCTTTTATAAGTAAACGAAGGGGGGTTTACTAAAGCCTTATTTTCTCTTAAATAAGCAAAGACAAAAGAAAACATAAAGAAAAAAATGTTAAATGGAGCATCTGACACATTCATCGACATCAAAATAAGCAGAAGCAGATCAACTTAATTGTAAAGAACAAAAGCACAATTGTAAAGAACAAAATTTAGAAGAAAGTCCCTTTTCTTTTGTTTACTCCAATTTCCGGAGAATATACTTTGCTTTGTTTTCTTGTTCGTGCTCATGCTGTTAGTGAAAACCATGCTAACGACCTTTACTGAGGCCCTTACTAAGGCTCATAACTGCATACCTAGACGTAATGCCTTATTTGCAGGCTATTTTTGCACTTCCTAACTATTTTGTTTGTGTAATTTTCTTTTGTGCGCATGCATTTTTGCAATTTCAGCCCGTTCTGAAAGTTAATTTGAGTTTACATTGATACCGGTTTGAATTCATACCGTTCTGAACTCTCAGTCGGATCGGTTCACCAGACTGTACGACTTCAGAAAGCTCTGAGTTATTTTTGTACCGGTCCTATGCAAGCATCTACTATAAATAATACGATAACCGACACGAGCTTGGACTGGTTTGACTTCTTTCCGATCTCATGTAAACAGGGCCTAAGTCTCTCTAGCTGTGGTGTAAGGGTAAAGCATGCGTTTAGAAATTAACGCATGCGTTTAGAATATGGAATGTACATGATGTTTTTGTCCACACATATCGCCAGCCTTTATTCCAGCAAGATATTCAGGGTTTGTCACTTGTTCCCAACCAATGAAATGACACGACGTCATTTCTTATATTGAAATATTTTCGAGTTCATTGTGAAGAAATGACGTCATGTGATTGCAGTTCGACACAACTAAATCACACATCACAACTAAAAACATTACACTTCACACTAATTCATACTGACAATACACAATTGACACCCACACATTTCTTGTACACACAATACAATGACGTAGAACCAGATAACAAATACGGCTAACCTGACGTTTACTCCTCATTTGACTCTTAAGATAACTACCGCTAAGGTTGTCGAAATGTCAGTCAACAACAACAAAAACAGTCCTTCTCAGGACTATACTAACCTGGGCGATCTACATCTACAAACATATAAAAGTAAAAAGTTTTGCAGACTATGTTATTTTGAATTTTTAAAAATATGTAGGAGATAAGAAAGCTGTCCCAAACTGCCCATATCGGCCCTGTCCAGGCTTTTGATATTAACAAAAAATTTATTCGTCCTGACGTTGAAGATGAAAACAAGAGGAAATTTTGCAAAGTAAAGCTAAGATCCCACTGAAACAAATTCACCATTGTGAAGACAACTACCATGCACAATGTAGCATACTCAGCTGCTTTTACAATCAAATGCTGGTGTTTGGCAAATCTTACATAAGGACATTTGGAAAAACTGTTGTACTCTGCTTGTAAATACTTTTTTTCTACTAGAGCATCGCCTTTTCTACAATTATTGATTTTAGGGTGCCTCTTGAACTCCAAACGTCCAGATTGTTAGCGGGTATTTTCACCAGAGTAATTTTACCGTTTTTCGAATAAAAGTATTCATTTTTTTAGTAAACTTTTCGGGCAAATAGTCTCACAACCTCCCACCTACAATTGAGACTAGTTCTGTACACCTTTGCTGTCAGCAAAATGAGAGCAAACAAGATGAAAGTACAAACAAAAAAAGAATCTTCCATTCAACGTGGAAATTAAGCGTTAATATTATATTTGACCTCATCGTGAATGCAGAGAAGTCAAGCCGATGGGAAAAAGTAAATATTTCTAAATATGACGTCATGTCATTTTAGTGGAAGGAAACAAATGACGGAAAAAAATCTTTCGTCATTTTTGTTACTTTGTCTCCGACTTGCAATGAAAATGGAGCTACTCCCGAGATGGATGGAAAATATCAATAATCATTTAATTCGATCGTACACATTAAATGCTTGAAAGCATAAAAACTAGGACGAATGACTGTAAATGAGCTGTTAGTCAGTTAATAATGGCAAGCCTCTGGTGTGATATATGTGGAACATTAAGGAAACCAACTGATCTTGCTGGGGAAAAATTTAGAGGCTTAAATGTGAACCTGTAAAATTTCCTTATTTTACCTCATCATGCATACAGTTATGAATCTGAAAGTTTCTTCTTTCTCGCTTTTAGTGCAAAGTTTCCATGGGAACTTTGCAGTATTGTGGTGTGTGGCGAAAATTCATACGAGTCAGTCAGTCAATATGTAAACTTTCCGGGCTGGACTTGTTCATCAACTGATGCAAATTGTACTATGCGTATATATTTACCGTACATCTTTGCATTTTACTATTCGTTGCCTTGTTATTTTAATAGGTGGAATTTTGTGCTAAAAAATATCGTAAACAAAGCATTATGTTCTTTTGAAAACTTAAGCTTCACATACGGGTAAGAAGAATTAAAGAAAATAATACTACGGTTCTCAATGGACAACGGATTAGTGTTATTTACACGAATGTATCTCTGACAAAGACAATCAGAACTTAAGAATTATCTACACTATAAGTGTGTCAAATTTGAAAATCAATTCCAATATTTTTGCAATAACTGCATCAATTGCAAAAAACAAGCAACTAGTGGTGTCGCCAGCTCCATAAGCGAGGGGGGTTTTATTCATATATTTATGTCTTTCCTTATGATTAGAATGCATTTTAAACTCTTCACCTTACAGAAAATTTTTTGAAGTTTTCAGAATCAGTTACTCCGATTCACGCACAAGGTTAGTTTGTGAATGCCTACGATTTTGAGTAGACCACAGCCGTACCCCAAATCCTCTTTATTTTCTTTGCTTATTTTTACATTTGTGTAGCAAAAGAAAAGTTGCGATAAAACACGAACGTATACTCTTGAGTTTTGAAAATCAATTCCCATATTTTTGCTATCATTGCATCAATTGCAAAACAAGCAAAGAATGGCGTCTCCAGCTCCATAGGCGAAGAGGGTTTTATTCATATATTTATGTTTTTCCTTATTAAGTTCTTTTGAAGTCAATTGTTTCTTAGTGACTAAAACATGAACATATGAATATCGCTTATCTCTCTGGCGACGCTACTGCAGCCAAAGAACAAACTATCCCATAGACACGAGAAAATTATCTTTGTCAAAGAAAACTTTGGCAAATAGACATTTTACTCATTTACATGGATATAGTCCAGCGGCATATAACTTTGCCAGAGAAACTTTGCTCGTGTAAATTACGCTTTACGCTGTTAGTCAGGAGATTTTTCAACGAGTTTTTTACGAAGAAGACGAAAGCAAACCATTAGGATTATTTACTGTAAAATCACAAAAAACTTTTTGGCTTCCATACAAAAATAGTTTGAAGACTTTTACATTTATAATTGTGTAATAAAACAAACATTGATGTCGGTGTAGAATAATGTTCAGTCTCATTCAATAAGTCTCAAGTATTTCTCGCCTTTGTCTTCCTTGATCATCGAATTACTGACGGAAGAATTTCATTATTCATCAACACTTTTACCATTTGTTACATTATCATTCTTCAGCAATGATTGATAACCGTTATTTTCTGTATCATTTCTACTTCCTGGAAATTTTATCAAAGATTTATAATGCTCACCTTTCTCCTCATCAATCATCAAGTCACTGACAAAAGAATTTTGGTATTGATCAACACTTTCACCATTTGTTACATTACCATTCTTCAGCAGTGATTGATAGACATTATTTTCTAAGTCATATCTACAGCCTGGGGGTAATATCAAAGATGTATATCGTTCACCATTATCTTCATTAATCATTGAATCACGGACAATAGAATTTTGGTATTGATCAACACGTTCCCCATTTGTTACATTACCATTCTTCAGCAGTGGTTGATAGTCATTATTTTTCAAGTCATTTCTACAGCCTGGGGGTAATATCAAAGATGTATATCGTTCACCATTATCTTCATTAATCATTGAATCACGGACAGAAAAATTCTCGCATTGATGAACACTCTGGTTCTGTGGTGACTTGTGAAAGGTTACATTAATAGGTTCCTCATATCGGGGAGGACAAGGTTCAAAGCTGATTTTCACAACACTGGAATGATTTTCGGGTTCCCATCTCGGTTCTTCATACACGTGATTCAGACTTTGATGTGATCGAGACTGGAGCACAAATTCATTACCAGATACGTTTGTCAGATCATTTAAGTTGGTTTCAGAGTTGTGATCTATGACAAGAGATGGAAAAGTGCCGTTTCATTTCAATGACATTTAAATTTACATGAATACTATTTTAATAAGTGGTACAATTTGTGATTTCTATAAACATAACATTTTTATAAAGCTTTTATGACATCAAAAGTAACAGTTACTATAATGTATTTTTCAGTAACTTTTTTAACGCAAAATTTAAAAGGACAATATAAAAGTATATTGATTTTTTTGTTCAACCAAAAGATTTTTTGTATATGTATAACTTGTTATTATATGCAGTATGCATATATAATATCGATGTTATTTGAATAGCTGATAAATCCTTTTGTGGAAAAATAATCATGAATTTATTGAATAAGGAAGTTACTATACCTTGAGTTAAGATGCGATTTCGTTGGTTTATTGGTCGGCCATTGCCAGATCTCGTCTAAATAGTCCATCAAAGTTGCAGTAAAATTGCTGTGCATTGAATACTTCCTAATGATCATCGGTGTCGGGTTTTAAACACCGTTTAAAATTTATTTACTGCTTCAACGACAAATGTCGATAGTTTTTGCTTATTTTTTACTCACCATTTTTTTGTTTTTCTTCATCCGCCATCTAAGGAGATAACACAACAAGAGAATACAAAACAGAAACAAAATTGCCGATATTGCATAGGGAATAACAGTCTTTTTAAGTTTTCCGATAAATTTGCGTGAAGAACCTGGAGAGAATAGAAAATCCATAGGAGCACATGATACTAATATAGATTGGACAAGAAGGTATTTTTAGCAAAATATTTAATAACAGACGACAGGTGCAGTAGTTTAATCGAGTTTAATAGTTTTTTCGCACCAATAAAATAATTTAAAAACTTCATTTTTACTATTCAACCTACCTTCAATGCATTGTCTCTTGTCAATAGCTGCAGTTTCTATGGTGATCTTGTTCATTCCACACGTAAAACATTTTGTTTTTCCTGTCTGTGGTTGATAACTATTTCTTTTACAATTCGTACAATTTAAAGTCGTTTTGTTAAAAAAGGAACCTGCATTACAATCTAAAGTCGAGAAGGGTTTTATTAGACCGTATTATTTTGATGTGTTTCAAAAACGTCAACTTACTTTGAATACAATCTGATTGAAAAACTGTTCCCTCCTTCTCTGTAATTGGCAGATTTATTGGACACGCGTCACATGTGATCTGTCCTTTGTTCTCTTGTGTCGAGTTTCGTGGACATTTTGTACAAACCATTTCAGATAAATTAAAATAATGACCTGGACGACATTCTAAAAAACAAATTAAATTAATTATTGACAATACCAACATTAGATTTATAAAGTACTAAAGATTAACATACCTTCTTTACAGTGGGATATATTGACATGAGGATCATCTGTGTACGTAATTGTACCATGTGGACATTGGTTACATTGAACCTGTCCTTTCATTGGTTGATATGTGTTTTTTGGACAAGGAGCACAATCTGATTGGTAGAAATTGTACATGTATCCTGGATTGCAGTCTACAAAAAACAGCAGTTTTTTAAAATTACAAGTTAACGAGACATTTTATAGTAAATGTACATATACATAATACAGGTTGTAGTTGGTGAAATATTTATGACCTTTAATACAGTCAAGATGACTGAATTTACAATTTTTGGATGTAACTGTACCACTGCGAGAGGCAGTGCAACGCATTTGAACAAAATGTAGTTTATAAAAACTTACTGGACAATATTCATATTTGTTGGTTTAAAACAGGTAAAATGAAGCAACAGAAAAAAGATTAAAATTAAATGAAGATATGATTAAATGAAGATATGACTAATGAAGATATGATCTTCGCACTTTGCTGGTTAATTTAAGCAATTGTCCCATGAACCTGAAAAATTCAGGTGATTCAACGGAACTCGAACCCATGAATAAATTAAAATAATGACCTGGACGACATTCTGAACAAAAAGTTGTAGATACTATCAACAATAGATCCATAAAATGCTGAGGTTGGAAAACATACCTTCTTTACAGTCGGTTATATTAACGTGAGGATCATCGGTATACGTCATTGTACCATTTGGACACTGATAGCATTGAAACTGTCCTTTCATTGGTTGATACGTGTTTTGGGGACAAAGAATACAATCAGATTGGTTCAAACTGTACATGTATCCCGGATTGCAGTCTACAAAAATGCATCAACATTTTAAAGTTTCTGGTTAAAGAATCATTATTTTGTTAGTGTACATACACAGGGTATAGTCGACAAAGCATTTATCACCTTTGATACACTCAAAATGGCAACACCGATGAAAAACGGTTAAGCATCTTCAAATGGCGTGATTGGGAATTGAAAAGTGTTAAAAATAAAAGCAAAGCAGGAGAGTATTTAACGATGGTGGTCAGGAATTAGTAGCGAGCTGAATGAAATATCCAAGAGATTGATTTGAAAGTGCAATCTTAGAGTTGTAAAGAAAATGGAAATAATAAAAACAACAACACAAACTAATAAAACAATCTATAAAGATGATGATTGAAAAAGAAGCGCTGACTTGAAAATATTAGTTAAGTTATTTTAAAGAAATGTAAAATATTTAGTGTGTTCAATATTTTCGTTATCATATTATGTAAATTTATTATAAAACTTAGGAGAAGTGTGAAAATTTTCGAGAAACATAAAAAGTAGTAGAGTGAGCATGCAAAATACATGCAAAAAAGAATAAACAAATACTTACCAAAAGCATTACCAGGAGTGGTCAGGTTAAAGATAACATGTATCGATTATATTTGTGGATTACTAGGTTTTTGAGACCTCGTGAAACTATTTTTTTCGTACAGACCTCCCATCCGGTAAATAACATATATTTTATGACTTAACTTAAAAATTAATTTCATTACATTTATCACAAAACTTTGTAAAACTAGTCTTAATTGCACAACTCTTCACCTTAACGCACTGCTCTACATGATTTTGTGTCTAACAATTTACTGAAAAATGAGCAAATTGTTTACTAAAAGAAATATGTGCATTTTTAACACAAAAAGTTGTGTAAACGATTCAATTACCTGAAACTTTGCATATTTTAAACTCAAAAACGTAAGTTAAGTATTTACCGTATTTTTGTATTAACAAATCTCAAAATTCTGGGTTAATTGAAATGATTTTATTCAAATAATTTACGCGTAAATTTTCACAACTATTTATGCAGTGCATGCAACATTATGTTTCACAGCAGGTTAATATGGTAAAAGCATCAAACTTATAAACATACAAATAGTTTTACTTTTTTATCATATCAGCAATTCTTGTTTGTATTTTAGCAATGTTTGCTAAAAGTTCAGCAGAAAAACTCGAAATTGTGTAAAAAATTTTCAGTCTCTGAAGTCGTGGACACACAAGATATCTTTAATATTCACTAAATTTATCATGAATTTTTCCGAAAAAACTAAATGACTAAAAGTTCTTCCAGCAAGACTGAAGATCATTCTATATAAATAATATCTTTGTATAACCCATGGTAATTTTACAATAAAAAATATGTCGAATTGTAGATTATGAATATTAAAATTGCGTTTTATGAAATGTTATGTGGACTGTCTTAGTAATTATTACAAGTATTTTGAAGAAAAGGACATATATAAATTTACTTTATCTACTTTTCTAACCTAAATACAAATTTTACGACATAGAATTTAAATGTGATATATTTGGGGGTATATGCTAGACTAGTAATTTGTTAAAATATTTCGTAAACGTGTTATATATAAATAACCATGCTACAAATCAACGCTGATATTTGTGATAATCAATGATTGAAAAATTATATGTAAATAATTTCAAACTACTGCTCCATAAAATTGATAAAAAAAATCAACAACATGCACTGTCTTTATTTCCATCGTACCAGAATGGAGCGTTGAAAGACGTGCAAGAAATTTGGATTTTTACTCTATTGGCCTATGAAATATAAGTGCATTATCAAATCTAGCCATGCAAACAAGGTGTATGTACAACTTTTTACGGATTATTCTTATATTATTAATAGAAAAACAAAGAAATAGCTAAATTATTTATAACAAATCTTACTTCTTCCAGGATCACCTACATATGAACTATCAAAATATCTCTCTAACATTCTTTATCCTATAGTCAAAAGTTCACCTCGCACCATCAAAAACGCCACCACCTTCCTCGCGAATATTGACACCGTTAAACTACAACCAGACACAATCATGATATCTTACGACGACACATTTTTCTTCACATCCATACCACTAGACACAGACAAAGAATTACAAACAAACTATTCACAAACGACAAATCTTAGCGAGCCACGACACAAATTGACAAAAATAACATTTTAGACTTAGTCAACCTTTGTTGAATATGTCGATGGATCGCGAATAGTTCAGAACGATTTATTTTATTTAAGAAAATACGAGTTTTACATAAGATAGCTCAACAAAATTAACCTCACTAGAAATACGTATACCGAACGTTTTGTTCATATCACAATATTTGGTATATGGTCAGTGGCTAGTATATTTAATAAGAATGCTACTTTAAGTAATCACCAACAACCTTTTCCTCTCCACTGAATTCTCCTTACAGAACTCATACCATAGACAATGTCATGCAGTTGTTGCCTGATATTACACATTACCATGAATAAATAAACGGAAAATCAAAAATGACTGCATGACTTCTTGGACAATGTAAACGTTGCCCACAAACCAGCGCAACAACTCAAATCATATTTCACCAAAAGTTAAGACAAGACAACAATTCAAGATACAACCGACGCAATCTACATGATACCATTTCAAAATTGGTCAAAACAATAGATATAGGACAAAAATCGAAGAAAATCGAAACAAGACTCACAGAACACAAAAATGCCATAAAACGACAACACCCAAACTCACTACCGGCAGAACATATGTTTGCAAATAACCACGCATAGAATTGGACAGAAACTAAAGTACTCGAACGCGCACAGACAAAACACGCACGCAAATTTAAAGACGCTTGGTACAGTAAAGACAACGACACAATAAACAGCCATATTGACATATCTATCGTATATATTCACAACTAAAGAAAAAGGACAAAATACCTACTAACGACACTAAAACCATAGCAACTCACGGTAATAATATATATTAACACCAATCCTATTCACAATACACCCAAGCCCAAAACAACGCATTCCACATCATCCAATTATCTCAATCCGCCATTAATAAATAACTTATGCAAAAAATCCGGATAAACTTATTTTTTTCTACAGTATTTATATATAGATTTAAAGACTGGTAATCCAGGCATGCTTTATTGTATTCCATGCCGTTATATAATCTAACACCTCATAAACAATTGCATATACAGTGAATAATAAATTATCTGTCAGTTTCCCGAAGATCGCCCTATGGCGTTAAACACCAAGTAGCGACAGCGAAAACTTGTCAATATAATAACTATAAAATAAATTGATTTTTCAATACTGAAGTGTAACTAACAATGCCAAAAATTGCCTTTTATACATTCTTGTTCAAGTATACATGGTTTTAGTTTATCTTTGTTGTTTTAGTATTTTGTCAAAGTGTTTCCTCAATGTGGTTATGTATAGATAACAAAAACTAAAATTAACGCAAATACTCCCGATACACAATAATAAAAAAATCATGAATAAATAGTTTCAAACTACTGCTTCATAAAATTAATAAAGAAAATCAACAACAAGCATTGTCTTTATTTCTATCGTACCAGAAAAGTGCGTTGAAAGACGTGCAAGAAATACGGATTTTTACTGAATAACGTACGACATATCAGTGCATTATCAAATGTAGTCTTGCAAACAAGGTATGTACAAGTTTTTACGTTGGAGATTTTTTCTTTTATTAGAAAAACTAGGGAAATTATAAAAACAAAAACATGTTTATAGTGCATTGATTTTTCAAACAGAAATGTTACTAATGATGCTAAAAATTACCTTTTATATATTCTCGTTCACTCACTGCTCCAACATTAATGGTACCTTTACAATCATTACAGGTAAGACAACGAGTTTGTTTTGGGTATGGTTGATAAGTATTGATGGGACATTTTTCACATTTCTTACTTTCAAACGAAAAAAATGAACCAATGGAACAATCTATAAAGAAGATGATTGAAAATAAAACGTTGACTGACTATTGAAAGTTTACAGTTGATTTTTTATTGTATTCTATGTTTCTTGTCTCATTATGTAATTAACTATGAGCCAAATTAAAAGTTAAAAAATTTCCCAGAACATAAAAGCAAAAAAAGTGACCAATCAAAACACTTCACACTGCTACAAAACAAATACGAACAAAAAGCATAGTGACAGCAAGATATATCAAATTTGTTTACCTCAATAACAAACGACAATAACGAGATCTGCGGTTTTAAAATATATGTTTACGTGTTTACGTATGTAAGGAAGCTTCTAGAGCATGCAAGCAAGCAACTAGATTATGTCCTACTGGTAACGACAACCCA